CAGGTAAAAAAAAACAAGGGAAGATGATATGCTAATAACTAGCAAACATGGGCAGGAGTCTGCTCCAGATATGAGAAACTTATTTCTATTATGGTAAGAATAGGAGAATGGCACTGCCAGTAATCACCATCAGAATTTGGAAGACTGAAGTCACTGAAGAAGTTTGGGAAGTGTAGTATTAATAAGGTACAATAGGTTTCAGTTTGTTTTTCTGTTTATTTGGGGCCAAATGTTAAGTAATAGGACATCACAAAAATATCTACAGATGTGCTTAAGGGTAGAGTGAGAGACAAGAACCAGGCAGGGGGAACAGGGGCTTCAAGTAAGATAAACGTGATTGAAAGTTAGAAAAAAAGATTAGGGTCATGTTGGAGGAATTTAAATGCTAGTCTAAACAGCAGGAAATTTTTATTGGTAATTAGGAGCCTGAAGCTTTCTGAATAATAAAGTGACACTATGCCCTGGCTCTTGTGGCTCAGCTGGTTGAGTGTCGTCAGGGCACATACCCAGGTTTCGGGTTTGTTGCCAGGTCGGGCTACATGCAGGTGGCAACCGATCCATGTTTCTCACATCGTTGTTTCTCTCTCCCTCTTCCTCTCCCTTCCTCTCTCTCTAAAATCAATTTAAAAAATATTTAAAACAACAAAATAAAGTGACACTGTGTTGTGGTTTACAAAGCACATGTTGAGTGCCATGTGAACAAAATAACTAGAATAGTAAAGAAGGTGGCAAAGCAGATGAAATATTTAGGATACTGGGAAGACAGACATAAGTATTTTGAAATTAGTATAAATGAAAGATATGTTCAGATTTGTTATCACCTTTCAAGATATCCTAAAAGAAAGTTTATTTTTATAAAAGACTGTGATAGATAACATGCTCATTTATAAAGATGAGGTCCAGTGTATTGGTTACAGACAAAGATTCTAGAGCAAAATGGCCTTGATTAAACAGTAGTCTGCCACTCCTTATGTGATTTTAGGCACTTCACCCACTCCTTACTGTACTTCCGTTTCCTTACAAAAACAAAACAAAACCGCCCTGGCCGGGTGGCTCAGTTAGCTGGAGCATCGTCCTGTACACCAAAAGGCTGCAGGATTGATTCCCAGTCAGGCCACAACCCTGGGTTGTGGGTTCTTACATATAGGAGGCAACCTATTGATCGATGTTTCTTTCTCCCTTTTCCTTCCTCTCTCTCTAAAAATCAATAAAAACATATCCTCAAGTGAGAATTATATAAATAATGTAATACTTCAGTAAAAGTATATTTTTTCTCCTTTAAACTGTGTTGTAACAGTGCCTGCCTACCAGATTAAATGAGTTAATAGATGTGAAGCACTTAAAATGATGGGGACATCTGTAATAATGTCCACAATAAAAATAAAGTTAAAAAAATAACTTGTCATCTATTAAGAACTAAAACATAAAATCTATGACCTATCCTTGTTGAATGCCTTGAATCTCCCCTTTTTTAAATGATTTAAACTGCACCTGCCAGTTACTACTGCTCTGTTTCCTAAGCCCTGTATTTAATATGGGTTAACTACCTGAAATTATATATTTTTAAGTGACCATAAAAAGAAATCTTCATAAAAGTACTGAATTAAGGAATCAGACAGAAGTTCTCCATATATTAGACTTGAGAAATATTTGGTTTTCAAATTTGAGTTATTTTTTCAAAATTACAAAGGAAAGAAACTCTTACATCAACTGATTAAAACTGTGATCAGTTTTTCTAGTCGTTCAAATTTCAAATTATACTCTAAAAACATCACAAGGATCTGCTGCTCTAGAAAGTGTTCAGATAAACTTGCCTTTAAATGGCTAACCACCCTCATTTGGCTAGGGACTCACTAGCATCCTGTCCCAAACACTTCAGTTTTCCTCAGTATGGGACTAGAGTTTGTTTTCAAACTCTGAACAGGATCACTGAAAGGAAAGAGGAGGAATACTATCCAGGCAGGCCTGGACTGATTCCAGGGGCAAGCACTCTCACAGTGATGCCCAGGAATTATGCCAAGGAGGGAAGTGATTTTGCAAATGAACATAGTGCCACAGTTAAGCATAAGGTGCTTAATTCTTTTGTCAATATCACCAAGGTTAAAAAGTAAGAAAGTTATCTGATAAACAATTAACTTACAAAAATGTAGTCTTTCACAGATGAATGGTAAGGAGGTGTCTTGACTCCTTTAATCACAGTTTCTTTAACAAACTCCTACTATTTATACCTAATTCCACCTATCCTAATACATAATTAATGTCAATGACAGTGAAGTAATTTTATTTTATTTTTAAGTACCTCAGTGTATTTTGCAGGTGACAGTAATTTTGGTATTCAAATGAGGTCCAAATTCTTCAAATAAATGAATGTGAATAATTTCAATAGTACACATTTAATGAGATGATTTTGCTCATTTGGAAGAAATTGGAGACTTTTTCTTCACCGTAAATACATCTCTTGACCGCAGTTAAAGACTGCGTTTCCTACTCAATTCTTTACTTACAAGTATTCTTGCTTATTTTTCTTGACAAGTAAATGTAGAAATCATGAGTTAAATTATACACAATGAAAAAAATTACTATAATTTTATTTAAAATCTTTAAACATTAAAAAAACATTAATGTTATTAATGTTATTTAACATATAAACATTAATGTTATTTCCTAGTCTTTCCTTAGACAAATTTTACTGTGCACTTTTATACGTATCCCTGCATTATTTCTTAGGTTTCCCATTTTTAATTGTATTAAAGTTTTACATTCCATTTTCACATCAATCAAAATCTTCATACTACTAAAACTGACTGCTTTTATAGCTAAAATGTAATATTATGTTCTTAAAATTTTCTTATAATACTGATTGTTGAGTCCGCCATCATTTTCAAATAATTGTTAACCTCTAATCAATAAGAACATTGTCTTTCATTAAATTAAATTGATTAGTTAACTAAGAATATTTCTATACTTACCCAGTGTAATAGCATTCTGCCTACTAGTAGTGGTAAATCTTCAGTTTTGGATTTCTACATACATGGAACCTGCAGGATTTTCTACTCTGCAAGAAATACTGCCAGTGACAGAAGGGGGAAGAAGACAGTGGGTAGACAGATTTGACTCTTTCAGGGGGTATAAAAGAAGGCTGCCACCTGTCCTATGGGACCTGAACCTGCAGTTACTTTGCAGAGTTCACTTCAGTGTCAGCTATGGAGAAGATGATAACTGAGTGCTGGGCCGTAAGTATTTTATATGCTAGCGATCATCCAAATGAAGTATTTAACTCTTCAACCAGGACAGAAAACTATACTTGCTCAGTTACTGGATCTAAATATTGCCTCTAGTAGAAACATAATGTGAGCCACATACATAATTTTTATATTTCTAGGAGCCACATTATTAGAGTAAAAGGAAACAGTTGAAATTAATTTTAATATTACTATACTGTATTCAATTTCTCTAAAAAAATTACTAACGATGTATATTACATTCTGTGTTTTTTTTTTAAACTAAACCTTTGAGATCCAGAGTATAATTTATACTTACATCATGTCTCAATTTTGAATAGCCACTTTTCAGAACCTAAAGATCTACTGGCTACCATACTGGACAACATAGATCTAAATTTTTTTTTATTACTTCTTTAGCCTACTAGAAAGAGAATTTTATGGGGAAGTAATCTGATTTATATACCAAATTACTGTTAGCAAGACATTTAAGTTCAGCAATGAAACAGAATAATATTTGCTAGGATTCTCCTTGTTTTGTGATGGAAACTAGAACAGTATTCTTGTTAAAAGCGCAGGCTCTGAAATCGGAATGCTCTGAGTTTGAACCTAAGCTAAGACAAACATTACTCACTAACCTAACTGCAAGCAAGCCATTTATTTTGATAGCCCCAATTTTTCATTCTGTACAGTAGAGATGATAATGATATCTACCTCATTAAATGAACTAGTATATGTAAAGCACATGAGAGAGTATCTGCACATATTGTTACCTCCCAAAATTTAGTTATAAGAATTACTGCTAGTTACAGTCCCCCCTAAATTAACTAATATTTGCAAATATTAAAATTACGCTGCTGGCTAGTACTAAAAGAATATATAAAATTTAGTTTTGGGAATGTATTATAAGTTACAAGTTAAAAGAGATATAAGTAATAAGAAAATTGTCAGGATATCCACAAACAGAAAAATATCTATCAGTTTTGAAGGTCCATGTAACATACTTTTAAATTTAAAAAAATACTGGTCAATTATTATGACCACATACTGTTATGTAATAGAAAAATCTAGTTTTATAAAACATAAGGTTCACTAATTCACAGGCTTATTATTGTTTCAAAACAAACACAAAACGTCCAGCTGATGTATTACGATAACTAAAACTTTGTTTTGGCCCACTTCCACAGAAATGTGGTCTACTGTAATGCAACTTATCAGGAATACACTCATTTTATTATTTAGTCCAGAAAAGAAATATGCTTTGGCAGAAGTAACCTCAGAGATTTATCAAGTGAAATGTGATGACTTTGTATCAAAATTTTAGTATTTATAAAAAATATTTCTAAAAGCCTGCAACTGTATTTGTACTTGTCCTGTCAGTAGAATTCCTGTTAGCAGCCCTCTCGACCTACTTTTTACTGCTACTCACAAGTCCAGAAGATGGGGGTTTCAAAACAGAAGGAATTACTTTATCATTAAATCCTGATTAATGTCACTTCACTCTCCTCTCTTAAATCTCATAGCTCAATGTGCAACTGTTCATTTCTATGTCAAGATAGGGCAAATACCATTATTGCCAATACTTATTACATACGCTTAGTGCAGATATCACAGTGCAGAATCATTGGCAAGTTCAATAGTGACTTTGCTTAAGATCTACTGAATCAGGCTGCTGGCATAGGGACGACTCACATGTTCAAATAATTATTATTACTTAAAGACTTTGATACTGAAAGAAAAAAAAAGGAAAGTAGAATTTTAATAGCACATATTACTTACGTTCACAAGTGTCCCCTTTCTGCTGGTAGCCTGCTTTGCAGATACACTTTCCAATGGGCACTAACCATTCTCCTTCTGCACTGCAGTGCATCCTGGGGGGGTTTTCCGCCTCTTCCTCCGCACTGCTGACACATGTCCCTCGAACCTCGACTAAAGAGGAAAATTCTGAACCAGTCACTGTATCTGGAAAGATAGCTAAGTTCTCAATAATGGACCAGCACTTCTTGTAGTACACTTTGACAGAAACCAAAGCTATGCAAGCCCCTACATCCTGAAAGGCAAGATAGAATCCCTTTTTGGACAAAGGTCCAATCTCTCTCACCTCAGTGTTAAGCTTCATCTTTCTTTCACCAAGGTCACCTTGGGTAAAACTTTCATCTGCAGCAATGGTGTCTATTTTTACATAGAGGTTTTCTCTTATATTCCTGCCAGTGTCGTAGTCTGTTTCATAATAGTACAAATTAAAGGTCTCCTTGCAAGTTCCCAGTACTCCAGGAAGACTGTTACAATCCCTCAGGGTGAATTTCAATTCTACAAAAATCCTTTGTGCGTTGCCTTTAGAAATCCAGTTAGTCCGCAGCCAGTTGTTTTGGTTGGGCTCCATGACCTGGCACACCTGGTATGTTCGTATCGGGGTGTAGTTCTCATCCAAACCACTAATTTCTTCCCACTGCAAAATTAAATAAAGGTCATCAGTCATCCAGCAAAAAATAGCATTTTAATTTCAAGAGTGCATGAGGAATCTTTTACAGCACAAATGCACATCTTTGAAAGAAGTGGATTCTGACCCTGACGAACACTGTAACCTGAGGAGAGAGCATTCTCCCTTCAACTTCATCCTTGCGGTAGAGAATTTCGGTTGCTTGCATTGTTTGTACATGCAACAAATATTTCATTTTGTTTAATATCTGTTTCCTAGTGTATTATATTAGTGTTTCTTTTCACATGCTTGCTTACATCTGTAGTCTCCATTGAGATTACAATATTTATGGACTAAAATGCACAACACAATTACTTATATTACAGTTCAATGCATATGCATATGGACACATAGCAGAATTTTTTATAACTCAGTTGACATTTTAAGTGTAAACATTACATTTAAACTTAGAAAGCACCTAAAAACATAGGGAAGAAAATGCCAACCGTACTCTGAAATGTAAAAGGATTCCACTACATGTTGATATTCACAATGCGGACTCTTACAGTCTTTCAAAATGAGACATAAGAGAGTAGCATTTTACAGAGCTATTTATTTATTGCAGTGTTATCAATAATATTGTACATAAACCCATATAACTATAAAATAGTATTTATATAAATTTATTGCCGTGTTATCAATAATATTGTACCTAAACCCATATAACTATAAAATAGTGTTCATATAAAAGTATGATTCATCGTTGTAAATAAATTGCTTTCAATAGAAAATCAAATGAACATGGCAAATCAGCATCCTGAATCTTATTTTAGTAATAAGCTTTGTGACAGGAAAAATGTCAGATGTTTCAAAATGCCCACTGATATGCTGACACAATGCATGCTATAGAAAACTCATATTATATATAGCCACAAAAAAAGGAAAATAGTAAGTTTAGCAGACCTGACAATTTAAAGATTATTAAACTGTGTATAATATTAATTATATAACTATTAGCAATTAAAGTAATTTCACCTAAAATAGCCCCAAAAGCCTAAAATACCAGTTCTTTATGTCCTTTCTTACCATCATTACAAAATTACCCACTTTATATTTATGCTGCCTTATTAATGAAATTGTTATCTACTTTTATTCATTTCCCCAATATGAAATGCCAAATATAAAAATATATTAGTATTAAAGTTCAAAGTCATATAGCATGCAATATTTAAACTATTGTTTCAAGAAAAGCAGATGGGAAAATAAACTAATAAGCATGTGCTAATGAGTTTTATCTGTAAAACTTGATTGAGAATCTATTTAAATTCTCTATAAAGCATTAATACCTACTTTTAAAATTTTCTTAGAAAACAAACAAAACTGACAAATTAGCAATATACTGTAATTCAGAAATTTCTTGTGTGATGTTATATAACTGCTACACTTTTATTATACATATAATCAAAGGTCCTCAATTACAGCAAAGAACCCATTACCATGTGTAGTTTTTACTCAATACAACTCGAATTTTTGAGTAGTTAGTGGTGAGCATATTTTCCCTTTGCTTCCATTAGTTGCTTATAATCTGTTTGAATGGCACTTAGCCAAATACAACCAAGTTTCTTCATGTAGACAGGTAGATTTTTGTCTCTAAATTATAATTAGTAAAAGAAGTAAAACTGGTAATGGTATCTACTAAAATACTAAAAGCTCCAAAGATAAATGTGCTCTTTTTAATAATTTCCCAGTTTGAAGAAACCAAGGCTAATTATTATAAAGGAATATATCTCTTAAGAATTCCTTTTTCTAACTTTAAGAACAATTACATTATTTTGTTCTATCTATGAAAAATCAATTTTACTAACCTATGAATCCCAGTTCATTTTAATTTTTATTTAAAAATTTATTCCTGAGAGGAAATTTTCAAGATAACTATGTATAGATAACAAAGAGTGACACGACATAAATGCATTTAAAGCAACTTGTGTTTTATTATCTCATTTTCTGAGAAACTGCAATGATTTCTACAAATGAAACCATTGAGAAAGAAGTCTTAATTCAGATATTGTGCTTTTATGATTTGCTTATAAAAATATTTTCTAGAAACTTGTACCTTAATAACTATTTCCAGTTAGATTTTTAATCACATGTAAGCCAATCCATTTCCTATATGGAAAATACTATCAATCTTCATTTCCTAATATTATCTGTTGATTCCTTCAGATATGTAGGGGTAACTGTTATTCAGATACTTTGGACTGACAGAATGCCCATCTGAGTCCAAGATAACATAGACAGTCATAATTTATCATTTCATGGATTACATGGATGAAATACTACAATCATATATCAGTTTACTTCTCCTTAGAGATAAAAACCACCCTCTATCTCTATTTGTTTTAATTGATGGATGATAGAAAATAGGCTACATCTATCATTGGCAAGAAAGGTATTTCATTTTTTATTGTGAATGTCTTCCTATAATGTACATTATTTTACTCATGGAAAACTTCCACTTGTAAGAAAAGTATTGCATGCCTACCTCAAACTTCATGTACTTTTTATACTTAATCTGTAAAATAGTTGTAACTTTTCGTAACTTATTTTGCCCAATATAGAAAACTACAATATGATAGTAAGCAATCTCTCAAATATTAACTGAATGAAAAATCAGAATATTTTAAACAGATTTTCATCCTTCACATTTTGCATTCTTAAACTGACTTCTACTTCATGACATAGATTTTATGATGTTCTCAAAAACCCCTTTTGGATTTTTGTTCTTTTCTTTGCAAAATTTGTTACACTTTTTATATCCTCGCTTATACTTCATGTTCTTTGATTCCAGGTGTCTTACTGTGCCAAAGATTAACTGAAGTAACAATAGGGTATGCTTTGCTTTCTCAGAGCCCTCTCCCTTAATAAGGGACAAGTATGTGCCCACTCTCACAATTTTAAAAAAACCTAAGGACAAAGACATTGAACTAAATTTAAGAAAATAATCTATCTTTCCTGATATATAAAACATAATGGTTAAAAACTGGGGGTGAGAGGGTTACATATATTTTCATAGATTTTTATTTGACTGCTTTTGTTCATACCTATTGTAACAGATTTTTACTGTAATGTGTGCAATGCTCTGCCATCACTTCTGATTAATAACAGCACATGATATAACTTGGAGAATCCAACTATTATTTTATAGCAAACTGTATCCTAAAATATTGAGCATATTACATTTTTAGCTACCTTTTAAAGTATATTTTGAATGATGCTAAAACTGTTTTTAAAAGATTACATGCTGTTTTAAAGAACTACACACAACCTACCCACCTGGCTATTATACTAAAGAAGTACAAAGCAACTAGAGAGGTTTAAAAGAGTTTTTGAAAGGACTGTTCCCTGTAATTAGTTAGCATTTATAGCCTGGAACCTGAGGTATGACACCACTCACAATCAATGAGAACTCAAAAGATTATGGCTACAGAGTTTTTTTAAACCCATGTCCCCAAGCCCTAGGTATACCTTCTTCCTACTTAAAGAATTAAATGTCTCACGATGAATACAACAGAATACTGAATACGATATTTGGAATTAAAACTGTTTAAATATAAAGAATGTGAGTAACTCCACTATGGAGAAGGAAAATTTTTTATGTCTTACTTTAAAAAATAAAGTGTAATATTTTACGAGAAGCGCTTACCCCATTTGGTGGAGAGGAGATCCATTCCAACTCTGTTTGTTGTGCTTTCGAATCCAGCAGTAGTACTTAAAAAAAAAAAAAGGTTTATTTCCAAGTGTTACATGCAAAATTTAAACACAATTGTAAAAGTCATTTTATATAATTATCACTTTATGACTTAAGATATATAAACAGTTACCTATATAAATGAATAGTGACATGAACAGCGACCTACTTGATACAAGTATATTACTCCATTTTGGAAGAAAATATATTAAAATATCTTATATTTGATCTTTTAATTAAAATGTTAAAGTAAATTTAAAAACTCAAAAGTAACATAAAAATGAGGGTAAAAATTGCTGTCATGTATTGTTTCTATAGAAACTGTATATTATAAAGAGTTTATAAACCATCGAGCCCTCCAAATTTTGCAAAATATAACATGAATATAATAAAGTGTAATTCGAAATTACTCTTAAGATAGTCATTGATGTACAATATTTTGCCCTAAGTATTTCCTAGCACCTTTTGAGAATTGCGGTTTATTTTTTAAACTTTTTCGCAGTGTCTTCTCTGACTAAAATGAGTATGGCTAAACACCATATTACACAATGTTATTCTTAGAAAAAGCTGGTATCTGCAAGGCGTAGTTCTCAGTTACTCAAACATCTGTTCTCAATATCTCTACTTTTTTAATTTCCAAAGGTTTCAAAGTATTAGCTAATTCTCAAAATACTATATTTAAACTCTGACTGGGCTATTTTTCTGACTTGTCTTTTTAAAAGTTGTATTCCAGTTTTATGCTATCAAAAATCATAATGCAATTAATTTAAATTTATATAAATGTAACAAATGCTCCTGGTATTATTGCTATAACATATTCAAGTGGCATATATCATAATTCCAATTTGACATATTTTATTGCTTTTTAAGACAATTACCCTCCTAAAGCATTCGCTGTTTGCTCAGACTGGTTTGTTATCTGAGTTTTTCCCTCTTAAAGTATTTTTTACTCTAGAGCATTTTAATAAATGTATCAATTTTGCCCACAAATAACAGTGAATGCATTCTCGAGTATATAAATACGGTTAACATCCAGCCTCAGCAAAATGTTAAAACTTGGGCTTTAATAAAATACATGCTTATACAAACTTTTAAATAGTCACTAGAGGGAAAAAATGTACTTTAAAGGAAATGAAAACGTGTTATGCTTAGAAAACAGAACACATTGATTACGTGTTCAGTTCCTTCATGCTAGTCAAGGTTATTCCCTGTAACTGAAAAAAGTAGGTAGATAGATAGATGATAATTAGATAGATGATAGATAGATAGATGATGATAGATAGATAGATGATAGATGATAGATAGATAGATAGATAGATAGATAGATAGATAGATAGATAGATGATAGATAGATAGGTAGATGATAGATAGATTAGATAGATGATAGATAGATAGATGATAGATAGATAGATAGATGATAGGTAGATGATGATGATAGATGATAGATAGATGATAGATAGATAGATAGATAGATAGATAGATACATACATACATACATACATACATACATACATACATAGAGACACTTTTTCCCCCCAAAATGTTTTGCACTTAAGACTGTAGGAGAGACAATGACAACACAAACTTTGGTCACAAACACTTGACTCTCTCCCAAATAAGGAGGGAAAAAAACACTTTAAACACAGAAATTGTATTTTGCACTTTGAACATCAATAAATCGTGGGACTAGTGAATTTATATGCAGTAGCTTTTAAAGTTTATTTTGTTTTTGTTCTCAACAACAGAGACGAAGCACAGGGAAACAACGTGGGTGCCGCGGACTCTTGTTTCGAGACGATTGGTTTTATCATCAGTGTCGTGCTGTCTCCGCCGACAGGAGACGGGCGGCCTTTCGGGCGCGGCGCCCCGAGTGCCGGCCGCGCGGGCGGGCAGCGCCGTCCCGTTCC